CCCGAATGTGCTTCTGCAGCGCTGTGCGCTCGTGCTGCAGGAGGATGAGGTCCTTACGGCAGTGTCCCATTTCCAGACGTTGAAATTAAGGGTGAATTGTCTGTTGATAGAGACTGGTTAAAAAGTCGTCTGTACAGACAGTAAGACACTATACAAGTGTCAAAACCCCTAAAACACTGGCATGTATCAGGTAAGAAATGAAACAAAAATCTGCTTCTTGAAGAAAACAAGGTGACCGTGTGTGTGTGTGTGTATGTGTGTGTGTGTGTGCATATGTATGTGTGTATGGTCACATTTCTAGTGAAAAAAATGATATATGTTCATGCCTCCTTGTCTGCATAAAAGAAAATTCTAGGTGAATTCATAAGAAATTTTCTTATGTTACAGAGAAAAATAAAATTTCTTAAGAAAATAGAATAGCAGTAGTCCATACATTGCCCACTGCCATCAGACTGTGTCTCGGGTACAAGGTACAGGCTAAAGAATTCTCCTAACGATATTAGCGCAAAACTTTTCAATGAACTAAGAAAAATGTTTTCAGGAGTGGTTTCCTTTAAGAATGGTCTTGGTGGGGGAGCTGCAGCGGTGGGTACAGAAGCAGACACCGACACTCAGGGGGTGGATAGAGACGTAGACAGGTGTGTGTGCGTGGCTTGTGGGACCACTCTGCGAAGCTGACTCACCGGCTCGGATGGAAGAAGCACGACGTCGTGGTTAGCAGCGCGGGTTCTCCAGTGACTGCCACTCTCCCACTCCGCAGTGGTGAGGCCTTGTTGGGTTTCCTGTGTGCTTTGGTTTTCTCATCGCAGTTAATTCTTATGAAGCAGTTCTAACAGTACCTGTCAGCTAGTAAACTGCTATTATCATTACTAGCAGTGGGGCTGTTAAAGACTAGTAGTTCTCTCATTGCATCTTAAGTTCTAATTTCTTTTGTCACATTTGTCAAAGCATGAATTGGAGTGGCAGATAAAGGCCTGTGGAGTTCAGGGCTTTTGTTGTCTCAAGGCCTGGTGATAAAGAGCTTGGGCTCTGCCATGGCTGGAGAAGGTTAGAATCCCAGTCCTGACACTGCCTGTGCCTGTTCTTTGTGAGGTTCTCTGAGGGGCACAGATGTTTGGATTGAATTGAATAGGTTACCTTGGTGGAGGCAGACACTGACTGTCCTGAAGTTTTGCTGGACAACAGTATATATATTCTGAAAGGCCAAGACAAAGATCACTCATTTTTGTACTGATGTCCCTGTCCTGCCACACATTCACATGGGTCCTTGGCCTGCCAGCGGTTACTGCAGAGTCTGGAAAAGCGCATTCCTGAGTGGTCAGCTGGGGTTGTGCACATTGGTCTGGGGCTGCCCATGAGAGCCAGTGCCACAGGTCCACTCCAGAATCGGCGTGCGGGGTCCCAGCCTGGAGTGATGACAGGTCCAGGTGGTGCGTGAGCCAGCACACGGCAGGTGGCAGTCTGTGGTTGAAGTTGTTTCTTGGCTTGCTAGTTCTTCTTGCCTTACGGATCACCAGGTACGCAGAGTGCGTGGTGAGCTTCCAAGATGGGCAGAGCCAGCTGCCAGCTGCTGTCGGGCCCTGACTCGGAGGAGAGCTTCATAGTGGGCCAGCTGCTGAGCAGAGTTGCTTTCTGGCACCTAGAATTGCAAGGGTCCCAGGCAAGAGGTTAAAAGTGGGCTCTAGTTAGCATAGATATACAGCTACTTTTTCTTAGTTCCATGAGAAAGAGTTTCGAACTAATAGTGTTTAGACAAGATACCATGTCTGCATCTTGTACTATGAATAACTCCTACAAAGGCAACACAGTATGCAATGTATTAACTATTGTAACTGTACTACTAACTTGTTTTGAAACTGTCTCATTGCTACTTTCTCAATAAAATTAATATTAAAAAACAAAAAGGGCTCTGTGGACTGGAAGGGCTGGGAGATCGGAGCCTAGGAGCCCCAGCAGGTAACTGCACCTCAGGGGCCAGCTCTGTGTGCAGGCTGACAGTGAAGGCCACATTTCTTTAAGTAGTTAACATAGTGGGGAAGCCTCACTTAAGTAAGGCTGTTGATCTTCAGCTTTGTGAGATGACAGTAATGCGACACTGCCTGTTTCTGAGGAGAGTCATTCACGAGCTGTACTCAGCTGCTTGCGAGGTTGAGGTGGGAGGGTTGCTTGGGCTCAGGCTTCAGGGCTAGCCTGGGAGCACAGTGAGACCATGTCGAAGACAGTAAATAAAATAAAATAATGTAAGTGACATTTTTTGCTGAATGTAGTGCTCCTCCGTCTATATGTATTTTACCCGCTCTCTAAAGACAATAAACCAGCAGGCTTTGTAGCCGGAGTGTTTTCTCCTATGAAGAGTATGTCGCCTGTGTGTTAGCATAGTGAGGGAGGAGTCACTCCATACATCTGCTGGCCTTTTAGCAGGGTTTTGCTCAGGTTTCTTATAGTAGCTATGGCTGGGCCTTTTACCTTAAAGGCAAAGTTTACAAATAATTTTTAAATGTTATCTTCTTAAATAGCACATAAAGATACGAGTCCCAGTGTCGTCTGGTGTGGCCGAGGTTGGACATTGCGCAGTCGTAGCTGCTCGGCCGGGCTGCAGTTGAGGTGCAGCCTGGCTTGCGTGGCTTCCCTCCCCCTCACTCGGAGCCTTGTCCTCCCTGCTGCATCATCTGAAGCTAAGGGCACTGGTCTGCTGTGAGGTGTCCCTGGAGCAGGTTGTGTGCCGCCCGCCCGCCCGGGGCTCAGGGGCTGAAGATGAGACCCAGGAAGCCTCAGAGGCTTGGTGCGCCACAGCTGGCGCTCTTCAGTGCTTGTGGGATGCCCCACAAGTAAGATGTTTGAACTTCTTTTTATTAGCAGATGTCTTTTACTTTGTTAGAATAGGTGTGGAAGTCATGAAAGATGGACAGATAAAAATGACACTCCTACCAGAGTTAAAAAAATCCAAATGTGAAAGTAGCCAGTGGCAGACCACGTCCCATAGAACCAGCCGGGGTCACCCGAGCATGTCGAGCTGCAGACACAGCCCTTTGCTCCAGACTTCTCTCTTACTCCCAAGCCTTACATATCACCCTGCCCTTGCGTGTCAGCCCACGCCTTTCCCTGCTCCTGCCCTGGTTTCCTCCAAGCTGCTCATCAGGAGAAAGATACCCTCTCTCTGCGCCCTCCTGGTGACTTCCATTTGACTTGAAAAGTGCTCATGGTAAAGTCATAATGCTTGTCATCAAGTAAGAATACACGTAGAGGGAATATGCGTGAATGTATTTTGTTTCCTCTGGCCGCAGTGATAAAAACGATTCAGTTTTCCAAAGTCAGAGGAGAGGCAGAGTTTGTATACTCCATGGGATAATTAAAACACACTTCTTTGCAAACATGTTTAAGCGTGGATGTGGACTGTCCACTCGAGGCAGGTGGACATTTTCCAGTGTTATAAAACCAGCTTTGCTAATACACGTGACTCCAGCTTGTTCACTGAAAGGAGGGAGAATGAAGGATTAAGGCAGATTAGAGTGCTGGGATAATATCTGACTACTTCTGTGTGCTCAGAAATACAATTCCTCCGAATTTGGATGTTGCCATGGCGACATTAGCCGCAGGAGTTTGGGTTGCCATGAAGCTCAGGTGGCTGCGGAGGTGATGGAGGGAACGCTTTTGGCCGTGCTGACGGAATGCGGCGTGCCAGGGTTTCTCTGGTGACGCAGTGGTGCCTGTCCGGTTGATGCTGGTCGTGTGTTGGGGGGACATCTGGCTCCCGGCATGCAGTGTTCTAGGCTGTGCGGGGGCGGCAGGGAGCAGCTGCGCGCCGTGCCCCTCCGGAATGCAGGGCGGACCCCAGGCGCAGCGTGCCGCGCAGGTGCACATCCGAGAGGCTCTTGGCTGTTTCCTCAGCGCTGCGGCTTCTCTGGGGACCTCAGGCCTCATGCAGAGCACTTGGGCCCCTGGAGCAGGGCTGGTTCTCCCTGAGACTCTCCAGATGAGGGGCAGAACTGCTTTTATTTATAACAACACATTTCCAACATTCTGAAGTTGAGAAGCTTGTGTTCAACTTCTGTCCTTAAAATGTGTCCAGTATTGGGAGGCAGGGTGTCTTGTAGTCATGACACACTACACTTTTATTGCTTGTGTTACTATCTTATGGTACAGTTCATTTTTTTTTTTAATTTTATGTATTTGGTAGGGGTGTCGCTACGCAGCTTGGACTTGTAGTGATCCTCCTGTTTTCAGCCTCCCCAGTGCTGGGATTATAGACATGCTCCCTTGTGCTCGGTCTTGGTGGCCAGCTCAGTGTGCCTGGGGGACAGCGCCGGCGCAGCATGTGGTGCTGGGGATTGAACCCTGATCCCTGCACTTGCCTAAGCAGGTGCTCGGTCCCCTGAGCTAGCTCACTGGCCCCAACGCTGCAGTTTAGAGGTAGAGATTAAGTTGGTGTGATGCGGATGGTGGTAGCAGTGGTTAGCTTGCCCTGGG